CGGCTGGTAGCCCCGCAGGGTGGCACGGGGCGGCGGGGGCGTTGGCGGCCGCAGGTCCGGGTGGACCGGACGGCGCGCCCACCATCGTCGCCGCCGCCGACACAGTCCCAGAAGCTGTGGCTGGGTCGGTCGCCACAGCGTCGGCGTGCTGCATGGGCACGCTCAGGCGACACAGCCTTCGGCCGAGTCGATAGCAAAGCGGGCTTGGTAGCCCGTGAAAAGCACCTAACAGGTGGGTGCCCCAGACATACGCGGTACCAATCTAACCCGAGTGGCAGTACCACTCTCAGCAAGGATGACCAAGCGGCTTGGACCCAGCGCGTGACGGCTAAAATGGCTACCCTGCAACGATTTTTATTTGCCCTCAGGCTGCATTTGCTTGCGGATACTTTGATATCATTCGCTAAACAGCCATAACAAGTTATATGCACGCAACCAGGCAACTAAAACCTTACGAGCCCCATAAAATGCATCATACACCGCAACAGCTGCGATGTCTATGAGAATCTTTTGCCTTTATAAAGGTTACGTGGTGGAGCTTTGCTGAATGGAGTATCGTCTATGAATATCCACAATGCCTGGGACAAAGCAAAAGGCCACCTCAGCGGGCAGCACAGCCCAGAGAATAACACGAGTTTGTCGCATCAGCCCATTAATTTAGAGGGAGCGAATGTTGAAGAACTGGTCCATTTGACCGCCTGATTGGCGCATGGACATGCATGTGGTATATACGTATATATATATATATATATATATATATATATATATATATATATTAATATACTTCATTACAAGGCAAGAATGATAGAATTGTGATAGTGTGCACAGAATAAAAATACATTAAATATTAATGTTTTGAGCAGGATCTAACCAAATCTCATTGAAACACTGCATTAAAACATCACACAGAGATATCCATTTCTTCGAGGTTTCTTTGATCTCATCCTCCGCTTTCAACAGTCACTGATGATATGATGATTTAAATTTAATGGTTTAGAAGTATCTCGGCCTGTTGAGCTTCACTCAGAGTCGACTAACATACTTTCTGTATAGAACAATGGACGGGTTAACGTTAATGAAAATGTATGCTTGAATCAAATTAATATCTGAAAATATGAAGTTATGACTAACGGCACTTTGTTAAGTCCAACTCGATTGACATCTCTTTGGCATGCAGGCCAAAGTCAAGCCAGAGCCCGAGATCCCGACAGTGAGGCCGGAGCCAAAGTCGCGGTCACCGCAGCATGACCAGAGCCTGAGTCGCGGTATCCGCAGTGTGACCAGAGCCAGAGTCGCGGCTCCGGCACTGTGACCGGAGCCAGAGTCGCGGCCCCGGTAATATGACCGGAGCCTGAATCGCGGCCTCGGCAGTGTGACCAGAGCCAGAGTTGCGGCCCCGGCAGTGTGACCAGAGCCAAAGTCGCGGCCCCGGCAGCGTGACTGGAGCCCGAGTCGCGGTCCCAGCAGCGTGACCAGAGCCAGAGCCGACGGCGTGACCCGTCCCGTCGTGTCGCCACCCCGGCCGGCCGCCAGCTCCGCGGCCACGGCCCCAATCACGCCACCGATTTGTCCTCTCCGAACAAATGAGATCTGTCACAGAAAATAACGACTGAAACAAATGAGCGCAGGAAAAGCCACGAACACTCCAGATTAGATGAAATGGAGACACTAAAGATAAGAATTTACAGTCGGGTGACATCGATTCGGTCGTTGTGATGGAGGCAACGCAATAATGGCCGCTCGGATGCCATTGGGCTAAGCGCTCCGACTAACGGGCCTGGCTGGTTTAAACGGGCTCGTTGGCTGAGCTCGACTGCACGAGCTCAGGTCCAGCTGGCTCGGCTCTCTGGATTGCGACGCGACGGCCCCGCCTTCTGAACTGAAAACCCAGCGGCGTCGACTCAGACGGCGGCAGGAACAAAACAGCAGATGGATGCCACCATTCAGCGGCTTCGTCGTCCGTTTAAAACGCCACTTTCCTGAAATGCCACTTTAGTAGTCGCGGGATGTCCGCGGAAGATTCGGACAATGGGGGGGGGGGGGAGGGGGGCAATCAAATCGACTGACCGGTAATGCTACGTCTCTTGAGCCGACGCTGGCTGGGAGATGCCGCCAAACGCGGCCGGCTGGACGGCACGGGAGAAACCCAACTGTTATATCGGGGTCTAATCGCTGGATCGGACACAGACAAAGCGGGATTCGATACCTCCAGTCACTTTCATCCAGGAATCGTTGACCTGACACCCGACAAGTCACGGACGAGGTAAAAAATCAAGCAAAATGCCCTACAAACATCACAATCATCAAACCGCTGCAAAACACTCTACGGACAGTTATAATATTGTCGAACTCTGGACATGGCACCAGACAAACCAGCATGTTCATGCGCGCAGGATCATAATATAACGTTCAAACAGGTTCAGAGTCAAGATGGGATGCGGTCAAGGCAAGGTCAGGTCGGGGTACAGTCAGCCCCTCACATGCTTTAGTTCATTTTTCCTGCTCCACGAGACCGGCGGTAGCGATTAGTTATTACTGTCAGCTCCCCTATCGTAACAAATACGCGGCTCACATCGCTCCGGCTCAACATCCGCGATTTGAACGCACATGACGTATGCCGGTGACCTAAGGCGACCTCGTGACTACTGCGATCACTGGTGCGCAATCAAACCAGCCCATAAATCACACCGAAACGGCCTAAAACCATAGAGGATGCTGCGAACTGGTCCGTGTGAGAAGCCAGCCAAGCCTTTATTGATCACGTCACGAACCGCCGTGACCCCAGTCAACATTGAATGCTGTTCCGTTTGCAATGTACCAGATGGATCCAATGACTGGCACCGCAAATTTGCTGGGACTACGTGTAACGGTTCGAAACTTATTCCAGAACCCCCTCCAAGTGTTATTAGCTTGCACACAGCTAACGGAGTGTTAAACGCGACAGGACAGCTGCATCATCCTAGTGTCTCTAGGACGCACCACTCGACCGAGGATGCCATGCTCCCCGCAGTCGAACGTCTGGCCACCAACAACGACGGCGGTCTCGTATCGTCGGTAACGACGATCGATTTGTCAAAGTTGTTCGATAGCGTCGACCACGTCCACCTCACCAAGCTGTTTTGTTATGGCGTTACCGATGCGGGATGGTTTAAGAGCTGTTTGAGTGGTCGAGGGCAGGTTGTGCGTGGAGGACGGCCCACTCACCCCATGCCATGCAGTGGACTTGAGAGCTCGATCACCGGTCCAATTTGTTGAATTTTGTTACCAACGATCTGCACAGAAACTTGACTCATGGCCGCCTCATCTCCTACGCTAACGAAACCATGCACGTGGACTGCGCGCGCCCTAACGGAACGGGTCTCGCCGACCTCAAAACCAGACGAGAACTTGCCATGCGTGAGATTCAGAACTGGTTCAGTACCGATCCTCTCCAAATGAACGAAACAAAAATTGCCTCTATACTCGTGGGATCCAAGCAAAACGCTAAAAAGTCAGCTGACTTCCACTTGAAGTTAGCAGTTCGACTGAGCCTGCTTCAAACAGTATCCAAATTATCTGCGGCATAGTTGACTCCGGTCTGTCGCGGCGTGCCCATGTCTCGAACGTCGTGAAAAATACAGCGGCATCCTCGTTTCTCTGTACCAATTATGTCATTCCTTTACTTCAGATCGTCTCAGTGTGTGCAACGGGGGAGACAGTCAACAATGCAAAGTTCAAAAAAGCAATCAAGTTTGCTCCAAGAGTAATTGCCGGTTCCAAAAAGCGCCATCATAAAACTCTGGCTCTAAGTTCCCTGGGATGGCTGAAGATCGAGGTCACGGTGGCACACCGCGACGTGATTTTAAGTGCTTGGGGCGCTGAAGGAGGACGGTGCGCGTCACAATGTCCGCGCGCTTTTTGTCTCAAGCGCCGCTGTTTTCAACCCGAGAAACATACGCGCTGTTATGTTATCCACTGACCACCGATCTGGTCCAGCCCGCAGTGCACTGATGGGCCTGTTTTAGCTCTTCGACCACTGTTGGTATCATTTTGGTCTATACCTTTTGTGTATGCCTTTTTATACTGCGCCTGTATGACCTGAAACCGTAATAGCCACTATGTGGAGGGTTTCCAATCTACTGATACTGCTACTGGTACTGATACCACCAAACACACGCCCGGTTGAGGGTTAAGCCCCAAACTGCGTCGGAAATCTGAACGGATTGATGACGAAAAATCTGAAGCATTCTTCTCCGATGATTCAGTAAACTTCAGACACTCTTGGCAAGCAGATGGCAAACTTTCCGAAATTATTTGTTTCACCCTGAGCGACGGCTGCGCGATGAAACAGCACCAGCAGCCACACTTGATAATTTCATTTGTTGCCGAGCCTCTGCCTGTAGCACGAGGCAAAATCAAGCTTTTGAAGCCTCGGCATAGCAAATAGCACTGAGTAATTCAACGGAGAACACCGTTGATTAAATTCTGCGAGTTGAAGGGCTGCGCTATATCCTTAGTTGATTCGGCTAGGAAATTCCTTTCAAAATGTGACTTGTTTCACGGGGCATGTATCAAACTTGAAAACCACTACAACTCAATACACACTCTGCACTCGATACGTTTACGCAACTGCCAAGACGTTTACAACAACCAGATAATTAGTTATGATGCAACCGTTGTATACCTCTGCATCAATGTGTACCATGCATACATGTATGCATGAATAACACGCAAAACGTTATGCATTATGTATGCGGGTAGCCGAACTCGTTGATCACGATCGATGTCTCTGTAGCTGTTCGCGGAGAACCGGAACCGATAACTCCTCAATGGATTCTCCTACGATCTATCTTCGGCTCAGCGGGGACCCGTTTTGATCAAATTTTTACAGGTTTGGCTCAATAAACGCACATGCAGTCGTGTGAATTTCATTTTAATTGTCACTTCAGGGCCCAGCCAGAATAAAGGTACCGCAGGCACTGGTGAGGGAAAAATCACGAAAGGTTTTAAGCATCACTATTCGGCCAACGTGGGCGGCCAGTAGATGAGAACATGAGAACATCTCTGACCCCACGTACTTGAGAAGTGTCTGCACAAGAGCTTCGCTATTTTGACTTTCTACACAGTCATCTCCTCTGCTGAGGTGAATGCATACGGTCCATCTTGACATAAAAAATGCGTGCAACGGTAGGTAGCTCTTCCGTTCCGCCAGAGTCGCTGTGAACAACCCAACATCACATGTGTCGATCCTCCCGGGTAAATACGACGCCGTGGATATAATGTATCTCGTCTGCAACAGATCTGCGAGACCAGCCTGATGGCAGCGCAGGGCGAGGCAGCGCCGAGTAGCCGGTCGTGAAGATCGGCTTCAGGTCAGGGTCCACGGTCCGCCGGGCCCGAGGTCAGCACGGGGTAACAGGGTCCGACTCGTCCGCCATGTCGTTCGCAGGCGGTGTCTCAAGGGGAGCACCGTTGTCCCATTGAACCCGTGACACCACTAAGCGACACCACTAAGTGGTGTCATGTGGGTCGATCCGCAGCTACGCCAGGCGTCGTCTGAGTGTGTCGGATCAGAGGTCGGCGTCGGCGCCGGCGCCGGGGGCGGGGGTAGGCTCTGGACCACCCGCGGCCCAGCCCGCCCCGCCAAGCAGGAAGAGACGCCCCATGGGGGGCGCCGCGTCGCCGGCTTCGGAACCGGCGCCCCGACCCCGGAACGGACCGCCGACCGGGTCGCCGGGGCCGGAGACATCGACCGCGGCTGGACGAGACGGCGGCCACGTCAGCGCCCGCCCGCGACTGTGTCAGATTGGAGGGCACATCAGTCACCATCTATCACTTAGCATATCAGCCTGATTGGAGGACTACCCGAAGCGGTGCGCGTTTTGACATGAAGGTCCGGAGCAGCAGACCCCTTCAAGACCAGCACGCCTTGCAGCCCCCCACGATCTTCGCATTGGGCTGCATACAACAATTGGCTCACCTAATTGTTACAGACGGAGCGCAAACTCCCGGGCGGGTCCAGCAACCCGACAGCCCGAAAACCCTTAAACGGATTACAGAGCGTGGCACAGCCCAGTAAACAGTAAGTATCTCCCTCCGGACTTCTCGAGCATTTGGCTTCCAGTAGAGGCAGAACGTGCTTATCTACGAGGGCACGCACAAAACACAAACGCCACTCACGATGTGGTGTGTTCTGCGCGTTTGGAAGGAAAAAATAGCCTCACTGTCAATTATCAATATTGATAGCACAATACGACACGTGCCTTTGGGCCTGATTATACATATCGTGCGTGACCAGTAACAGTTCGTATTGGAAAAGGTCACAGTAAAGTAGATTTCCGAACCATTTTCATTTTAAGTGGAGCGCCATGTTTAGTGTTTTGCTCGTTACTTGCATAGTGCGGATTTACCGTTTCCCAATACTTTTTCACCCTCATCACCTTTTTACAGCAGCAGAGCGCCTTCGTGGTGAAACTTAAGATGGAAAAAGTCTTGACTGCGAGCAGTGGGGTGGTATTACGGTGATGTTATTGGAGAGCAATGCATGCATCGCCTAAATGTGGAATAAAGTGCGATGTGCATCGGAATACGCGGCTTTGCATTCTCATCAAATACCCCAGAGGAGATCGCTCCCGTCCCGGCTATCCTCCATAGTATACCTTTTGAACTACAAATGAGAGGTTGCAATGCTCGAAATTGGGAGATTGTTTCTACTAAAATTTAAAATAGCACTTCCAAACTGGCCCAAACGGCAGCAGCCCAGCATCTGCGACTATTTTCATGCTTAAATAACGTGGAATGGCAAGCGCATGGCGACTGCTCTAAGTCTTATGAGCATTGCCTTGACATCAATGCGTGTCCCCTTGTCATGTACAATTGCTCTTGCCGAGGCCATATATATGTCAATTTCTAGTTACCCAAACAGCGGATTTCACTGCTATTATATTGTTGTCAGTGATCCTTTCCTTTTCAACATAAGGTTTCTCCATGTTCCCTGGTGCTGGCTTACCGCCGGCCGTGGGGCCTGTATTACTGGCGCTGGACTTACCACCGACCATGGGCCCTGGTACCACTGGCGATGGACTTCCCTGAGATCATGGGATCTGGCACCACTGGCGTTGGCCTTACCACCGACCATGGGCCCTGGTACCACTGGCGATGAACTTACCTGAGATCATGGGATCTGGCACCACTGGCGTTGGACTTACCACCGACCATGGGCCCTGGTACCACTGGCGCTGGACTTACCACCGACCATGGGCCCTGGCACCACTGGCGCTGGACTTACCACCGACCATGGGCCCTGGTACCACTGGAGATGGATTTCCCTGAGATCATGGGATCTGGCACCACTGGCGTTGGACTTACCACCGACCACCGGGCCCTGGTACCACTGGCGATGAACTTACCTGAGATCATGGGATCTGGCACCACTGGTGCAGGAACTTACCACCGACCATGGGCCCTGAAAGCACTGGTGCAGGACTTACCACCGGCCATGGGCCCTGGTACCACTGGAGATGGACTTCCCTGAGATCATGGGATCTGGCACCACTGGCGCTGGACTTACCACCGACCATGGGCCCTGGTATCTCTAGTGCAGGACTTACCACCGACCATGGGCCCTGAAAGCACTGGAGCAGGACTAACCACCGACCATGGGCCCTGATACCACTGGCGCTGGGCTTACCTGAGATCATGGGATCTGGTATCACTGGCGCTTGACTTACCACCGACCATGGGCCCTGGTACCACTGGTGCAGGACTTACCACCGACCATGGGCCCTGATACCACTGGCGCTGGGCTTACCTGAGATCATGGGATCTGGTACCACTGGCGCTTGACTTACTACCGACCATGGGCCTCGGTAACACTGGCGCTGGACTTACCACCGACCATGGGCCCTGGTACCATTTGGGGCAGGCCACGAAGTTGCACGGTTCCCGGCTTGTGGGCGGGTCTTGGCTGCAGCGCGATTTGGGCACCTGGCAACAAAGCCCCGGGAAAAGTGTTAGCAAGGCCCGATACCATTGCGCGCACAAGCTAACAGTTACGTAGGCAAGAGTGAAAATGGTCATATTCGAACATCTCAATTTTTGGATAGAACAAATGTTTGGCCTGTCGTTCACGTCTGATGTGTTACTAGTATGTATGCACCGCTTCAGCCAGATAACTCTCTGCGTGTCGTCAGGTCATATTGACTCCTCAGAAAGGCTGAGTGACATTTGGTTTTTGACTGGGTACACGTTACAACCTGAATTTTCTCCGTAGAGCGACTAGGATTCGAGCCAGGCTCCTCTGCACACGAGACCACCACCACACCACTGAGCTATCTAGTCAGCCAGGTCAAGTCGAGAGTAAAAAATCATCAAAACGCTTCAAAATTAGGTTTGTGCGCCAGATGAGTGAAATACCATGTATGGCAACTCCCGTGGCATTGTGGAAGCATCCTCGGTGTTCGCTGTGCATCACTGGGCTTGCATCCGTGGGGGGACATGTCTGCTCGGTGTTCGGCGCGTTTTCCCCACCAACGTAAACACAATTCCTGACCATGCTAGTGAAATTACTTGCCCGCAAACATCCGTGCATGAAACCATTTCAAGCCGACAGAGCCAATCAGCCATAGATAATAATATTACCGTCTTCCAAATAAAAAGCTTCCGCATTTCAGTGAAGTCCAATATCATTGTGCTGCTGAGGCTACATTATTGGAGATAACTGAGGTGACTTCGTCCAGTAACGCAGAAGAAATTTGTAGAAAGCTGGATGCTAAAAATACCAAACAATATGTAGTCGTAGCTCCCAACCATATAGGTCGACCACCAAAATCAAAAATCCGAATGCCAATCCAAATCGGGTAGGCAACCACAATCCGAACCAAATTAATAACGCAAACCCGAATTCAGCGAATCGTTCGGATACACGGATTGCGAGGAAGAGGGGGCGGGAGCGCTGCTGTGGCAGCCTGGTGGGCCATCACCGAGTCTCATGCGTGAGCCCGGCGTGCGAAGAGGCTGATCACCGCGACCCGGTCCGCTCAGCAAGTCCGGGTGCGTACCATCCCGCCATGAGCTGTTCACAGAGCGCGCTTCAACCCTTCATTTCGTGGTTCTCAAATCGCGTGAATCAGAGCCGAGGTCCTTCTGGAAAGCTCTCGGCTGCTAACGCATTCAGCTCATCCCCAGCCGGCCCTCATGCCACAATCATACCTGTCTGCTCGGATCGGTTGCTTCCAGTTATCGGGAGCGATGAAGAGAGAACCGCTAATAGGCAGGGAGGTCGGGCCCATTCAGCAATCAGGTCACCCTCCATCCAGCGATTTCCGATGCCCTCTTGCCCATTCCCAGGTTCGTGAGCTGGGGAGATCCCGACCCGTGGTCCATCGCGCCGCGAGCTAGTGGCAGTTCGGCGCCCACGTACGCGTTCATATGCTCTGTTCCAGTGCGATTGAACGACTCTGTTCAAATCCGCAGACGGCGGGCGGGTGCGACCGAGCTTCCAGCGCGCGCCGGAAGGAGACAGGGCTGCTCCAACCCACCCGCCCGCCCGCCCGCCCGCCCGCCCCACTCCATGCGAAGTCAACGAACAACCCATTAGCCAAGCCGGGTGCACGTCAGAAGGAAACGCTCTGCGGCAGCGGGCTCAGACGCACACGCGTACCGCTAAGCGTCTTAGTGCCGGGGCTATTTCCGCTCTAACAACAGAGCTGCAGTTATAATCTGATTCTGCCTCTGACCGTCTCCCGCGAGAGCCTTTCAATTACAGGAACAGTGTGCATATTCAGCCGGGCCGGCCGCGGGCTGAGGCGAGACTGAGCTCGCGCGCGATGGTGGGGCTGATGCGCCCGATACGGGCCTGATGAGCTACCGCGGCTATTGGCGGCAGAGAGAGAGACGGTCTCCGGGAGACGCGACTTGGTCGCCGCGGGCGGCAGAGAGGGACGGTCTCCGGGAGACGTGGCTTGGTCGCCGCGGGCGGCAGAGAGAGCCAGTCTCCGGGAGACGCGACTTGGTCGCCGCGGGCGGCAGAGAGGGACGGTCTCCGGGAGACGCGACTTGGTCGCCGCGGGCGGCAGAGAGGGACGGTCTCCGGGAGACGTGGCTTGGTCGCCGCGGGCGGCAGAGAGAGCCGGTCTCCGGGAGACGCACCTTGGTATCCGCGGGAGGCAGAGAGGGACGGTCTCCGGGAGACGTGGCTTGGTCGCCGCGGGCGGCAGAGAGAGCCGGTCTCCGGGAGACGCACCTTGGTATCCGCGGGCGGCAGAGAGGGACGGTCTCCGGGAGACGCGACTTGGTCGCCGCGGGCGGCAGAGAGGGACGGTCTCCGGGAGACGTGGCTTGGTCGCCGCGGGCGGCAGAGAGAGCCGGTCTCCGGGAGACGCACCTTGGTATCCGCGGGAGGCAGAGAGGGACGGTCTCCGGGAGACGCGACTTGGTCGCCGCGGGCGGCAGAGAGAGCCAGTCTCCGGGAGACGCGACTTGGTCGCCGCGGGCGGCAGAGAGGGACGGTCTCCGGGAGACGCGACTTGGTCGCCGCGGGCGGCAGAGAGGGACGGTCTCCGGGAGACGTGGCTTGGTCGCCGCGGGCGGCAGAGAGGGACGGTCTCCGGGAGACGTGGCTTGGTCTCCGCGGGCGGCAGAGAGAGCCAGTCTCCGGGAGACGCGACCTGGTCGCCGCGGGCGGCAGAGAGAGCCGGTCTCCGGGAGACGCGGCTTGGTCTCCGCGGGCGGCAGAGAGAGCCGGTCTCCGGAAGACGCGACTTGGTCGCCGCGGGCGGCAGAGAGGGACGGTCTCCGGGAGACGTGGCTTGGTCTCCGCGGGCGGCAGAGAGAGCCAGTCTCCGGGAGACGCGACCTGGTCGCCGCGGGCGGCAGAGAGAGCCGGTCTCCGGGAGACGTGGCTTGGTCTCCGCGGGCGGCAGAGAGAGCCGGTCTCCGGAAGACGCGACTTGGTCGCCGCGGGCGGCAGAGAGGGACGGTCTCCGGGAGACGTGGCTTGGTCTCCGCGGGCGGCAGAGAGAGCCGGTCTCCGGGAGACGCGGCTTGGTCGCCGCGGGCGGCAGAGAGAGCCGGTCTCCGGGAGACGCACCTTGGTATCCGCGGGAGGCAGATAGCGCTGGTCTCTGAACGGTAAGACATGCTTATGCACGTCCGGTCAGGACAGTCTCTGGGCGGCAGCGATGGTTTTGGACACCGAGAAGCACGCTGTCCGTGCCGACGTACCTGCACCAGGGTGTTGTTGGCCGTCTCCGAGCACCAGACCCTCCTCAGTTTGTGGCCACCGTCACAGGAAGCGCTGCACGCGCCCCATTCGTCGGTGGTCCAG